TGGGGGGGTAGTACTTTCTGAAAGTACTGGTACTTTGCAGGGGGCTTGCCATGCAGTGAATTTCTGAATGTGCGAGTTGAGGCTACTGGCTTTAAAATCAACCATGTCGGCTATTTTTCTAGACTGCTCCTCTTTTCCACCATTGTTTGCAACAGTCATATAGCCACACAAGTCTCACCGATGTCGGCGTGAGATTGTACGTCGGCATTAAATTTATTGCTCGGAAATAGCAGGCAATGGGCAGCTGTGTGTTTACAGCTAACAGCTGATGAAGTTTCGCTAAATACTGGGTCCGGAGTTGTTGGTTTAAGTTTTCATCAGTCAGGAGGTTTTTACACAGAGCTAAAGTCTCCTCCTCACCAAAACAAGCGGAACAGCTTATTACGGCAGGTAATAGGCTAAAGTTCCTTAAAAATCAGATTTCTCTGAGCTAGTGTTCTTCGAGACGGGTCTTAAGGCCACTTTTTGATGGTCTTGGTCTCGTCTTGGACTTGACCGCATTTGTACTCGGTCATTGAGGACTTGAGATTTCATTTCAAGACCAGTCAAGAGCATAACTTTGGGAATATCAATAAATTGCTTTTGCATCGTCTGATTTATTTGTCAACATCCTAACTTTGATTGGATGTAAAACTTATTGCTTTAACAGGTTATATACAGGAATCCTGAAGTAAAATTCAATACCTTTTTAAGACCTTTTCAACATATTTTAAGACTGCCGCGCCACTTTGAGCTAACCGATTAAATCAGCCACACACCTTAAAGAGGGACATTTGAGTTTTTAAAAGGAATCTAAATATATTTATAACATATTTATTGCCTATATGTCATCAGGTTGTAACACCACCTAAAAATTGAGGCATTCACCAACGTTCTCAGTTGCCTGTAACAGCGTGTATGAGCCAACAGTTTTCCATGTGAAGGACTGGTCAGATTTCCTGGGAAAAGCAACTGTCTTACATAAACTATGACGTGTATGTACGCAAAATTACAGAAAATCATGTGAAACAGTGTGATTTTGTGTTTTAGTTGGTTTAAACTAGATAATGTGAGCTTGCCTGCAATAATATGTGTGATAACTTTCATCCACCACTTGATCAATACAACAAAATTAAAATGGACCAGGAGGGAACAAAGATGAAGAGAATAAACTGAGTGATGAATAATAGTGTTGGCCGTGTAGCACATGCACAACCTGGAGGAGGTACTGGTCTAAATGAGTGTATTAGTATAATATTCATCCATCCATCTTCAACCGCTTATCCTGCGTACAGGGTCGCAGTGGGCTGGAGCCAATCCCAGCTGCCATCGGGTGAAAAGTGGGGTACACCCTGGACAGGTTGCCAGTCCATCGCAGGGCATTTGTATAATATTATAACATTAAATTAAAAGTATATTGTTAATTTAATAGTAAACTGTTAGTTTGATATTAATATATTCATTATGTTACTATATTCAATATAATAGAATATAACTTACCACTAGAATAATAATTCAAATTACTGCTATTTCAGTTTGGGGTTGTTTTTTATTGCTCTAGGCCACATGATAGTCTCCAGCCTTGATTTTGGGCTACTAACTCGTTAATAATCATAACCGTTTATGCAGAACAATGAGTTCAACATTTATAAAGTTTGTTGCAGCACATCAAACTTTTTTTAAATCCCGCTCTATCCAGGCTGTGATTGGTCTGTTCACAAAACGAGAGCATCGGCTTTATGAAAAGTTGAACGTGTTTCAATAAAATGTACCGATTTAGCTAAATAGCCAGCTAACGTTAGCCAAACCCACACGCTCCTTGAATTTTCCCTGTTTCTGTCTTACCGATTCAGCTGCTGGCGGCGCATCTCACTCTTGTTTTTCAGGAACGGGGTTGTTCAGATGGCCACAGAGCGACCGGCCAACTGGGTTAATCCCGTTACTCCTGATCGCCACTCCGACTATGTTTTGGAAGATTCGCATTGCAGGTCCAGCAGGGTGGGAGATTAAAGTCGGGTGTACTCTTAAATCATTCATCATAATCATTCATTCAATCATCGGTAGATCCCTGCGCCTAACGTTACAGAAACGAATCACACATTCACTCTCTGCCTGTCTAGTATTTTTGGCTACGCATTATAAATAAATACGTTCACCTACACTTATAGCAAACAAACTTTTGGACAAACAGGATTTTCACATTGAAAAAAATATCTTTAAAATTTAATACCTTGTTAAATGGCGATTAAGACTTTTTAATGGCCTTAATTTTGGCATAATTGATCCATCACTTTTTAAGACCCCGCGGACACCCTGTTTAAATACAACCAATAACCCTAATGTGTTGTTACCATTAACAACTTTCTCCCCTCCCCACGATGGTAAGCATGGAAAAAGAGTGTTGAATAAAGATAGTTAAGTTGATTTCAGCTCTTAGTGTTTGTATGTGGGTGTTTTAATGGGAATGTGGATCTTTCAGATCAATTTGAGGACCTATGATCTCGTTCCACATTTTATTGTGTGTCATGTAATGTGGGGAACTGGTCTTGGTCTTGATTCGGTCTCGCCCCCCCTCGGTCTTGGTCTTGGTTTGGGTGGTCTTGACTACAACACTACTTCAGAGCCATGAACCTTGCTGCTCTCTTTGTTTGACAATGACATCTAAAAATCAAAATCTTCAACATGTGAAAACTGTACATATCTGTGTTTCCCCTATATGCATTCAGAAGCGGCGGTGAGCCATCTACGTGACAGGTGCTGTTATAAGAGCAGCTCCAAATCGGGAGGTGCATAGCAAGTGTTTGATTGTCCGAAAGTGATGGTAAACGTGAGCGGAGGAAAATATCCCCTTCAGACTGCACAGCTGAGCAGAAAAGCTGACAGTAGGCTAGCCAACGTCTTTTGGCTGCTATGTAACTTAACATTAGGTCAATTTATAGAAAGTAACTGGTCGTTGTATTTTATTACTACCTACTTGTCCAATGTCGAGAGCATCAGGTTTACATTCCTCCACTTACAAATTCAAAAAATGTACTACAGGAACTGTTTGAGGTCATCAGCAGTCACATGACAAAACAACTTGATGGTGTTTTTATTGTTGCAATCATATAATCAAACAAATCTCAGAACAGTTTTTCCTAAATTCCACCAGCATGTCCACATCCCCACCAGAAGAACAAACACGCTGGACCACGTCTACACCAATATTCCTGGCAGCTACAAAGCCCTGCTCCGTCCCCATTTTGGTTTATCAGACCATGTTTTCTGCTTCTTCAGCCCACTTACACCCAGCTGATTAAAAGGGTCAAGCCAACAATTAAAACAGTGAAAAGTGTGGACAGATGAGGCTACAGCAGCTCTACTGTTTTGGGAGCACAGATTGGAGTGTGTTCAGAGAGGCCGCCGCCCAGGAGAGCCACATAAACCTTGTGGAATATCCATCATCAGTGACATCAGCAAATGTGTTGATGATGTGGTGATCACTAAAACGATACAATCATTCCTCTCGCCAGAGCGAGACTGAAAGCTGGCATCAAGAGGCAAAGCGGAGACATCAGCAGAGACTGGAGAGAGACCTCAACACCAACACCACCAAAGACATGTGGCAGGCCGTCAAAAACATCAGAGGCTACAAAAGCAGGAGCTCCCCCATCATGTGTGAGGCCACAGTACCAGATCAACTAAACACCTTTTACGCTCACTTTGATCTCCTCAACAAAGAGTCAGCTGTGAAGTCTACTCCACCTCCATCTTGTGGTGAGTGGTGCTCAGAGAACAACCTACTAATACTAATCAATAAAACTAAGGACCTGATTGTTGATTTCAGGAAAAAGGAGAGAAAGACACACACTCCTGTCTACATCAGTGGAGCAGGTGAATAGTTTTAAGTTCCTGGGAATCAGCATCACAGAGAACCTGACATGGTCACCTCACATCTCCATGCTGGTGAACTGTATTTCTTGAGGAAGCTTAAGAAGGCCAAATTCCCGTATCAAGTTCTTGTCAGTTTTTACAGAGGAGCAATAGAATCATCCTGACTGAAAACATCACTAACATGGGATGTGCACGGCTCAGGACCGGAGGGCTCTGCAGCGGGTGATTCAAACTGCTCAGAAGATCATTGGTACCCATCTCCTGAGCATCAGTGATATCAGTGAGGTGAGGTGCCTGCAGAGCCCAAAGGATACTAAAGGACAGTACCCACCCAGTCACATCCTGTTCACCCTTCTGCCTTCTGGGAAGAGATATAGAAGTTTCTGCTGCCGCACCACCAGACTGCAGAGCAGCTTCACCCCCAAGATATCAGACTCTTAAACTCTAATTCATCCTCAGCACTGCTCCAGTGATGGTAGTTTATTTCTGTTTTTTTTTTTCATTTTTCATAATTGATTCTATTTTAAATGTATATTGTCTGCTGTGTTAGAAGAAGGGAGTTACAAACTCAATTTCACTATATAGCCTATTATATTGTGACAAAATAAATCTACCTACCTAAACAGTCCTGGCCATTGGAAAATTGGCTAGCATAAGTTAGCGTTCAAGCTAATAACTGTATCCGCCCAGCAACACCAGTGTCTGGTTAGGGTTAATATGTAACTAAGGTTAACCACGTTGTCCATAAATGAACATTGTGCCTTTAGATCGATGTGTCCACATTTTCAAATCTAAATTTATAAGCAACTTCATCTGTAACTACATAACGTTAATCGAGTTTGAGCTGATATTAGCTCTGCTATGCACCAACTTCAGTGTTGACGATGGCCGTAGTGAACCACTTCAACTTGTCTTTAAGCAGCCGTTAATAACCCACGCATTGTGGTAAGTTAAGTATCCACGATACAAAGACTTACTAATGGCTCTTCGGGGAGTAAATTCAATTTGTGTCATGTTCACAATAGAACAGCTCATTTCTCTGACAACAATATAATGGTTGATAGCTAACGTTAACTTACACTGCGACTCCACATCTCAGCTGCTTTCCCGCATAGGAAATACAAACAAAAATAGATCGTTTTACTCACATTTATACTTGTAGGTGTAAAAGTTAAATCCACAGAACGAAAACCACCGGCTTTGTTGATATTTCTCTGACAGCAGCAGAAGTATGTCCGGCTGTCCCTCTGGTTTTCTATGTGCCTTTAAAACTGTACTGGCACCAACAACCAATTGCTATTGATTTCTTCTTCTTCTCTTAGTTAATGGCGGATTGCAAACAACTTTTAGGTCTATACTGCCACCTACTGTACTGGAGTGTACAGTAGGTGGCGGTATATCACTCAACTACATAACTCGTTAATACAGTGCTCTCATATTCTCTTCACTAACCCAGTGTCTTTAAGAAATTTAAATAATGCCTTCCTGGTGATTCTTATACCCCTTTCTTCTCCTTCTGTTCCCAATACCCCCATCAGATTCCATTCCCGCCCTGCCTCCTGAACTCCTATCTTGAAATATCTGTTTCCAACTCAAACAATACACAGTGCAAAATGATATGTTCAACATTTTCTTTAACCCCACAGTTTTCACATTTTTCACTATTCCTTTTCCCCAATAAAAGCAAGGTGCCATTCAGTCCTGTGAGATCAACTCTCAGTCTTTTCCTTATAATTTTTATTACTGACAGACGTTTGTTTTTCATAGTAACTCCTTCCTTTCCTGTCTTCCTCCCACCATTTCTGCCATATTTCAATACCTTTCTTCTTAATGACTGCTTTTCCTTTTCCTAGTAGTATTTGAACTGTCCTTTTGTAATGCCTCTTTTGCTAGTTTGTCTGCAATCTCATTTCCATTTACTCCCTCATGAGCCGGCACCCAAAACAAAACGTAACATCTATCCCTCCCCGATGTAATCTTAATAAGCTGTGAAACATCAGTAGGTCTTCTCTGACAGATGTCATTGGCTGAATGCTTTTAATAACTGCTAAGGAGTCTGTGCATAATATCACCCTATCAGGTCTGACCTCTTCAACCCACTAATGCTATGATGATGCCACTATTTCTGCTGTATATACAGATATCCTATCTGATAATCATTTTGAGATATTTATTTTTGAATTCTGGTATATGTATTCCAATTCCCACACATTCCTGTTTGTTTTTAGATCCATCTGTATAGATGTTTAGATTATTATGGAAACTGTTTCTCAGATAGCTGCTTGTCCATATTCCCACTTCCTCTATTCCCCATCCTCTTTTCTTTTCCAGTATACTAAAATCTGTTTTTATGTCTGGATAGAGCCAAGGTGGAATGTTACTGACTGGATTGGGTGTGGTGAAATCTAATGCTTCCATTCCATATTCCCTGACTCTCTTTTCCCCTGTCCATCCAAACCCATGCCCCCGAAACTTAAAATACTCCCAACAACCCTTTGCAGGGTTTTCTTTCCCACTTCCTTTCAATCTGACCCAATATGCTAGCGCTAGCTTATCTCCAGCTACTATGAGTATTGTGTTAATGGGAGTTGTCTTAAAGGCTCCAATGCATATCTGTAAAGCTCTGTATTGTAATTTATTTATTTTTTCCAATATTGTTTTTGCTGCTGCATCTATACTATGCAACCATAATCTATTGATGACCTCATACATGCTCTATATGTCAATTTGTGACTGTTTATCTGCACCCCAGTCACACCCAGCCACCGCTCTGTCAAGGCTTTGGGTTGGTTGGGCGGTTTTTCAGTTGTTTCCGATGTTTTTATGTAGTTCTGGGTTTCACTTGTGTTCTGGTTTTGTATTCTTGTGTTTAGTCTTTCATGTGTGTGGTTTTGTAGCCTAGTTTATTCTTTTGTTCATTCGCATGTTTTTGACTTAGTTTCTGTCTTGTCCCTTATCTTAGTTTTAGTCCTGCATTTTAGGTCTGTTTTATTCTTCCTGGTCCCTTGTCATTTGTTCTGGTTTTTGTCCACTTGTCAGTGTGTCTTGTCCATATCATCTGGTTCCATATTTTGTGAGTGGTTGGTTCTTGTGTCCAGTTTCTATTTGTTTGTATGCCCTGTCTGTTCTCTCCTTGTCTGTGTCTGTGTCTTAGTCCTATGTCTCCATGTTGGTGTTGTCCTGTTTCCAGTTTCTCTCCCTCACCTGTGTTATAGTGGTTGTCTGTCTTTCACTCCTTGCCAGTTCATTGTTCTCATCTTCATGTGTTTTTAGTCTAGTGGTTTTGATGCCGGAGTTCTCCAGTGTTTCGGTCTGTGTTCTCCAGTGTTACTCGTGCCTCCTGTGTTTTTGTGTTACTTTGGATTTACTTTCAGTTGGATTATTCACCAGTTGTGTTTTGGACTGGTAATACCACCTCACCTGTAAGCAGTGATGGGCAAAGCGAGGCTTTGTGAAACATGGAAACGTTTTTTTCGCGCCACGAGGCGAAAGTTCGCAGTTGGTCTGAATGCGCCATTATCAATACATGACCAACAGGATTTCAGAGAAATCACCATACAACAAACATTTTCAGATTGTCAGAGACAGCAGATTGGGATTGCAATAAAGTGTGTTTAAATAAAACGCATCTGTGTTGTTTCATAAGTAATCACTCATATAGCCGACACTTTTCTCAAAAGCAAATCACAATTGCTATGTCAGAGGGCACAGCTTTGGAGCAACTACGGGTTAAGTGTCTTACTCAGGGACACATGTATTACATTGGGAATCGAACCCAGGTCTCACACCAAAGGCATATGTCTTAACCACTACCCCATTGAGACAACTTGTTCATATTCAGAATTGGAATACTGTATTGATCTCCGACGGTGAAGTCTTTGTTGCAGATACTTGCATGACATAAAAGGAATAATAGGTATTGAAGTTAGTGAGTTAGAGAATAATAAAGTATTCCAATCTAAGAATATAGCCTAATAAATGTGGATATCTTCGGTATTATACAGTAGCTTATTAACAAAGGTGTAATGATAATTAGCAGGAAAGATATAGGCCCTAGTGTACTAATAATTGAGTGCTGGCAGTGATGAGTGCACTGGATAAAAAATCCGTGACTGAGTAAGTTTGAGTTGTTTCAAGAATGATAATGAAAAGTGGAACAATGTCTCATTTGTTATATGTCAAGAATTGTATTCAGAAATATTCAGCTGTTTTGGGCTGAGTCGGGGTTTTTTCGTAATTGACATCCCCAGCCTTGGAAGAATTTGGTCACACAAGTTTTTTTTGCCATCATAGGCCTACAGTGCGGATATAGGCTACTACAGCATGCCGCTCCAATAAAACAAATGGTTGTTGTGTCCTTGGAACAAATCTGTCAAATGAGTTAGAGGCTGATGTGCGGTTTGATCTTCTGATCCAACCTTTACTCTAATTTTTCCTATCTGTTAAAAATCTAATATCCAGTTAGAAGTCCTTCCTCCATTCTACTCCGTTTAAATTAGTAATCCTTCCCTCTGGGAGGCACAGTAGGCTTTTATGTACAATAGTACAGTGAAGCAGGGCTCTGCAGTGCAACTCTTTCACTCACATATGCGCTTAAATTTTTTACAAGCATAGTGGGTTAGTGAAGACTAAAACCTACTGTAATAATGTTAACGTTATATTATACCAATACTCATTTATACTAGTTCCTCCTCCAGGTTGTGGTTAGAGCCTCTGCAGTGGACAGAGTAGATTTAGTTAAAAGTAGACACACATTTGTAGGCCCATGTCGAGCGTTCAGATCCAGTAGTCTTCACATCATAAAACAGTCACTGCACACAAGGACGAGAAGGAGCTCGGGCATATTATATATGTGAATAAATAATTTTAGAAGTTAATTTTGTGCTACTTGAACATTTTGGACTACTGTCCTCCTTAGGAGGAAGGTTAGCATAGCGCTACAAGCAAATAAGCAAGTTTTGGAACAGATCCATGATATTCTCTCCTAACAGCCAGAGTTATATATTTATTATTTTTATAATTTTTTATTTCAGTTAATTAAAGTGTTTTTTTTCCACACCCGATTTAGTTTAGTTTTAGTCTAAAATCACCTCTTTAACTACATGGTACAGATGTATTTATTGTTGTTCATTTCATTTGGTTTTTGATATTTAAGTCTTATTTGCAGCCTAGTTGTCATCTTCATCATTCTAGAAATCTGGCCAAGTTTATTAGTGGACCAAATCCATGACAACCCAAGCTGAGACCAGGAGCCAGACACACAGTTTACACACTTCTCTGCCCTTCTATTCAGCAGTTACCCACCCAAAACCCTACGCAGAGTCGCAGTCTAACACACTTCTCTGCTCCTCCATTTCAGAGTTACTCAGTGAAAATCCTATAGTGACGGTGTCTGCCCCCCGACCATCGAATTATTTAAAAAGGTAAACAGAAGAGGAGCTGTGCATAAAACCTCATAAAAAATAAAACCAATAGAGCAATATGCAAACGAATAGGAAAATTAAATGTGGAC